GTTAATTCACATGCATAGTTACTGCACCCATGAATTCTGTCTCACAATAAAATTCTAAGGTCTGAAAGAGAAAGTGTCGAACCCATCCCAGGAGCTTTTACGCGGGATAAGGCTGACAAAAACAAAAATAGTTGCTCCTCCAGATCGCACAATCAAGCATAATAATGAATACCTACATTGAATTCTTGGCTCATGAAAATCTTGAGTTTGACTCCACCAGTGATTGTTGACCAATCAAGAACGCGCGGATAATGTCATGGAGGGTTTGTTGACGGAATGTCAAAACAGAAAATAACATGGTTGAAACTGTTTCATTTGCTCTACTTTAGCTTTAGTAAAGTGCGAATGTGGTCTCAAATGTGCAAATGCCATAATGCAGCTCCTGATAACTTTCTAGTATTCAAAAGCAACCAATGAAGTTCCAGATAAAAATGCGTCGGTCACGACTGAAAAGATTTGGTGTACCATTGAGGATGCTGTAAACTCAGCTAAAGAGTTTTTGAAAAGTGAGTCAGTTGTACCAGTTATCCTATGTTAATATTCAAGTGAGTGTAGTCGCAGCATCATAACACATATTTTCTCCAAAAGTATTTTGCAGGGTGTCAGTCAATATAAGACTGTTTCGACGTGTCAATATGCCTGAAGGAGTTGTATACTGAAGACATTTACTGTCACCGTCAGTGGTTCGAGCAAGTGTTGGAGGTCATTCGTATGCCTATCTCTCATTACTTGTTAATTAGCACAGGTCAAAAACGTTTATAATGTCAGCAGATAAATGAACGGGCTTCTGCATTTTGTGACAGCGCCGTGACATGATTCAGGAGACAGCAAACCTTTCCTGTTCAGAGATTTTTCATCTGGATCGAAACAGAGTCTGGAAGCATCCTCTTTCGCGTCTCAATCAACTCTCAGAGCTCTGTAGATGGACCCTTGAAACAAAGTCACATCAGTTTTCGTTTCATTATCTCCTAAATCGCATAGGAAGTCAAACACAGACACTGAGTTGATAACCCACTTCTTCAACTTAAAAACCCCTTTGCTTCACTGCAGTTTTGCCGTCAGGGGAGGATATGAGGCAGTCACTACCATAGAGGCTACTAGCCGTCGAATCTATTAATACCCTATCACAGTGTAAAAGACTCTCACTTTATCGGGGTTATTCACAACGCGGCAAGGTGGATACCACAGGGAGTGATAATTGCGGTCACGTTGGGACCAGCTACTATTTGAAGACGCTGGCCAACATTCTGTACAAGGAGTATTCTTGATCTGAAATAAAGAAGCAACTGGTTTTCAAACAGTTTTCAATGTATTACTCAACTTACGTGTACAGTCTACCATGCTGATACAAATGGCGCCAATGGATATTTCTAGAATCGACCTCGGCCCCATTCCGTGCAGTAAAACAATCTAGCATGACCTTATCTAGTTTTCGTATCCACGATCAGATCTCTTTCCTATTATAAAATTACGATTAGACTGCTGAAAAAATTGGAATAAATATATCAATGATCTCAACATTATACATCAATGAACATTAACTCAAGGATGCTGTTCACAACAAAGTTATATGAGAGAATTGACTTCAAGCTTTATTTTTCCCAGATATTTGTATTACATTCATCTGATATCTGGGTTTTTTGTTTATGCAAAGACAGTATTTCTATATCTCTTTATGTGTTACACAGACAGACTATTTTGCAGACTGTTCCAACTGACTGTAATGTCAGAAAGAACAACCAAACTGTCAATTCACCACACATCGAAACATGTGTAATTTATATAATAACTTATCCATGCCTGTACAATTGTTATGTTCCTACATAAACGGGAATAAATATATATTATTATTATTTGTAAGTGTCACAATAAGTTTTTGACAAAATGAAGATTCGCCGTCTTGTTAGAATGCCTAGGAGCATACGCCAAAACGAATTGTGTTGTAGATGGAGTTCGCCAACGAATGTGGCCTGTTCAAGGCTGTTTTTATCAGCACTAGGACTGATAGACTCCCCACGTAGCCCCAGTATGCTTCCGAATGTCATTTCTTTGGTGGAACATTGGCCATCAGTCTTGATTGATGTTCGGATACCAAGCATTATCATTGGTAAGAATTCTGTCAAGTGAGTGGAATTAGAGTGAAACGTTAGTGCAGCCTTCAGACGTCGAGGAAAGCGTACCACCATCCCGTTGGCTTTAAAGTGATATGGCGTGCATAGGCTGCTCAGTGATCCAAGGAACCTAGACAAATTATTTGAAAAGCTCTTACTTAGGCTGAGCTTCTCTATCGGTTGTTAATGTTATAAGCATCCAGTGATGAAAAAGGCTTTTGAGGCTGTTTCACCCAGTAATTAGTGCGTCTATTTGGAACCTGGTGGACCTGTCGGTGCATGTGAATTAATCAGTGAATCCGTTTGAGAGTGGCAGGGTGTACATGGGAGAAACTGACTTTAATATTATGTGCGAACTAATAATAATGGCCTGTGTAGAAATGTTTATCATGTCCTTCCAATAGTATGTACAATTATTAACGTAGTTTGTCGTAACTTTAACGTCTGAAGAACTTATATTATCTATGTAGTGTGAAAAAGAGGGCTTAGGAGTCAGGCGCAGGAGTGCATTGTCATCTTCGAGCAGTCTGGTGACTGAGAAGGTGAACACTGGAAGTGTGTTTGCATCACGCACCTAGCTAGTTAAGCAACCATCTGCATCCTGTGGATAATAACTGCTGTGGTGAGCCTTTTGCAGATTATATTGCTTAAAACATCGTTTACGGTAAACTAACTAACGTTTTTAAGCCATTTTTATACTTTTGTGACTAGCCCACCATATCGACCGAATGTAACGCAACACTCAGTTGTTATGCTCATGTTCAACAAAATCAAATAATAATTGTGCCTAGGATTATGCCATATAAACTGTTTTAACTTATGCAGAGTGTACTTACGGTCAATATTCCATTATCTTCCTTTGTATATATATTCTGTGTTAGTGAAAAATTTTAATCATGTTTACTGCATGTGTGCATTATTATGATATTGATGATGCGTGTCAACTGGAGCCCTCAAGTGCATAAAGTGAGAATAAATTAATGTAAGACGCATTTTATTGTTTTATGAGGGAATTGACTTCAAGCTTTATTTATTTTCCCAAGTATATGTAATCCATCAAACTCATACTTGGGTTTTTTTGTTAATGCGAAGTCAGTATCTCTGTATTTCTTGGTGTGTTCCATTGAATCACCAGTTATCCGATTTTTCCCACAAACTAAAGATAAAATGACAACAACCATGTTATTTAACCGCAATCCATGTAATTTAAATATGTAACTTAAATAATTCTTATCCATTCGTATACAGCTTGTGTGTCCTATATTTGTATGAATAAATATGTACCCTATTATATTATCATTACTAACTATACTTACTAATCGTATGTGTAATTTAGCGAATTGATGATGCCTGTAAACTGGCGTCCCTCATGTAAAAAAAATGAGAATATACTATTATTATTATTAATGGTATAGCATTAGTCTCCACTAACGCGCATTCACGAGCTTATTGTGGTGGATTCAAACGCTTGTTTATGTGATGCAGCTAGACGAAAAAGAATATGGGAAAATCTCTCAGTGTGTTAGTACATATCTAGAAAAACACAACTTTCTGAGCTTAAGACATGCTACCATTTAATTCCTAGAAATGTAAGGACTGGATCACTTTAGGGGTGATTCACTGCTGACGGAAGACCATCAGTACAGTCCGCAGCCATGATTCAGTGGCAAAGACTTCAGGTTAAACTAGTTGGTTAAAACCAGTATTTGCAGTTATCTACTAATATTGCTGCTAAAATATGGACATGAATCATTTTCTAAAAGATTTCCAGTCTGCACTAAGCTGGTGAAGCGTTAAGGTAGAACCTTTAAACTACAACTCTGATGCATCTAACTCCTTTTCCTGCGGTTTTTTAAAGGTGTAGCCAACTGCAGTCTGAGATTTCACATAAAATGTTTTATGGAAACTGTGCATGTTTCATAAACATGCTGGGAATATACACCCAGGTTGTTATTTCCCTGGCCTTCAAAAAGATTAAAATGAGAATAATATGAACAGCTAGAACCACAACAAAAGGCATGGACAAAATCAGTTCCAGTGGTCGGATGGTTTAACAGTTAATGATGTAACAGGAGGGTTTAAACCACGGTGGGCGCGTACTACTGAAGAGTTTCAAATCACAAATAAGCAGCTATCTGGCGAATCCTGGTCTTCCACTAAATTTCCAATTATTGTCAGCTAGTAATCAGACCTGTAACCATTCAAACCCCTGCAAACCAACACTTGGTAAAATCTGTCTTTCGAATAACACCAGTAAGTACCAATGGGGTAAGATCACACCAATGACTTCGAAACGCTCTGTCAAGTTATTGAAAAAAGGAAAATAACATCAAAATCATGAAAAAATAGGCTACATGAAGTGCTGCGATATTAAACGGGATATCTGATAAGTTTTAGTTAGGTTTGGAAAAGAGTTAAGACCTAGGTTAAGCATAGATTAGAGTTAGGCTAATCTGATAAGGTAGATATTGGAGTTAGTTCTGGTTATATTAGGGGTGGTAACGTCTTAGGGTCAGTTTAGGGGAAGATTAAGGTCAGGCTGGAGGTTAGAAGACCTAGATGAATACATGTATAGGGTGTGCAGCAATTATTATATTGATCCTCCAATGTAATATTGAGAGGTATCTTGGCACACTTTAAAGAGAATTATCCTGAGTAACATTTGCATGCCTTCTGATTCATTGTTTTCATAAATATATGTGTTTTATAAGTAGAAATAGCATTTTTCATGTGGTTGACGCCTTCAAGGTCATTTACGCGTTGCTTCATTTTGGTGCTTACAGTTTTCCATCGCTTGTTTTCGATATAATTTTGTTATCCACTGTCTAAATTTCACATGGCTATGGTAAATATGGGACTAATCATTAAACATTTAACTGAACAAATAGCGTCAAATAGCGTGTATAAATGCTGACTTTCTATTGGTAACACAGTGAAGGCCAGATTTCTGCATTGAGCGCAACTTATGATTTTATTCGCTTGCACAGGAGGTATGGTCCGTCCGGTTAAATTTGTTATAGACGTAGTATGAATAATGTTCGGAAAACTTTCGAAGTTCAGTCTGTTCCCGGAGATACGGTATCGTGTCTTCGGTTTAGCCCCGAATCCTTGCAAACGATGTTCTTAGCTGCTACCAGCTGGGATAATCGTGTACGGATATGGGAAGTCCAGGGAAATGGTGCCACGATTCCCAAGGCAGAACAAGTCCATCAAGGGCCAGTTTTCAGTGCTTGCTGGAGCAATGTAAGATTTTTTAGGCCAACAATTATTCTTCCTCTAAGGATGGTTCAAAACTGTTTAGTGTATCGGCAGACAAAACTGCCCAAATGTGGGACCTTGGATCAAATACATTCACCGCCGTAGGTGCTCATGATGCACCTATTAGAACTGTACACTTTATAACCGCCTCGAATTACTCATGTTTGATGACTGGGTCGTGGGATAAACGACTAAGGTATGTTTTGGCTCAATCTCCTCTAAGCTTTTCGCCTAACGTTATATCATAAAACATGTGTATATTGCCTTCATTAGCTTGCAATTGGGATCTTAAAGTTAAGGTCTTGTACATCTAGTGTATATATGTACTAGCTCAGTTTTGAAGTAGAGTAAGATTTTGCATGGAGTTGACGTGTCTTCTAATTGAAACTTGGTCTTCCAATGATCAACAGACTAGTCAGCTGTGCTAATATAGTACCCGGAATTCTCGATTCAGAAGTGCATACATTAAACGGCCTTTGGGAGAAATGATCCTGGTTAGGAAGTTTCATCTGTCGTGATGGATGCTAGGAACAAATTGACTCACATTACTGGAGATGTGGCCCTGTGGCTCAGATATATTCCATGTATTCCGCTCATCAATTATTGCTCATCATAGTTATTTTTGATTTTTCATCCCTCTGCATTTGTGAGCTACATAAAATACGGCAACTTGAACTGCCACACTTTTTGCAAAGTTCTCTGTTGAAACTCAGTCAATCCTTTCTATTAGCTGGAATTATTGCATCAAACGTAATGGATTTTAAAAGAAGTCGCTGTTGCTGTCTTTACAAACTGTCGACTTCCAACTTATGTTTTGTTATATTTATGGCTCATTTTTGGTATAACAGAGAAGATTTGTAGCTCAGGTGGATGATTTGCAATTAATAGTGTTCTCTGAGCTGGTTGGTTTAGCTGCGAAGCTTTCGTCGTCCTTCTGGACAACATCTTCAGCGCCATATTTAGCACAAAGTGAAATGATTTAAATTTCTTCATGAGTGATATAATTGCGTCTCCTGGTAGCTGTGTTTACATATGTATTGACCATTTTCTATTGACTTGGATTTTAAACTTTCTGGTCACCTGATTTACTTTTTATTAGTTAGTATATTTCGTCTATATTAACGTGCTTGTTAATTGCATTTTCGTTTGAGTACCAGACTTCTGGGAATTCTATAGCACTCCTTTCAGTGTTTCCTCTGTCTAAGATTCTGACATCCCAATCAAATGTGCTAAATATGGCGCTGAAGATGTTGTCCAGAAGGACGACGAAAGCTTCGCAACTAAACCGACCAGCTCAGAGAACACTATTAATTGCCAATCCTTTTTTAGTATCTGCACCCAAGTAGCATCATAAAGTTTGTAACAAGGGACATATCTAGTTTGTTCTGTTTAAATTTACTCTTCTTTGTACACAGTGTAAATAGAAATTTTCAGTGTATTAATTGGTTTGTTGTTTAAATGGTGCGGAGGATTTGGGATTTGACGAATAGACTGATATATTAGGTAAATCAAGATTAGGCGTCTTAGCTTTCTGTGTGTATAAAGCTTCTAACAGTTAAAACATCGTTATTGGGCTTTGCTAGATCCTGTTACTTTTTAATGTTCATCAGCTTTTTTGAGACTGGGAAGTTTACATGGGTTTATAATATGAAAAACAAACAACATAAGTCATTGAAACCTCACTTATTTTGCTAATTGATCCCCAACCTGCGACAAATGAAAGGATTAGCTTGGGGCTAGCAACCACACCGTATGAAAGCAACCCGATCGCTATTGGAACTTCAAATTACAGAAACAAGGAATTTATTCCTTATTGCAGTGTGAAAAACACACCATTCCTAAGGTGGATGTTGCTGGTTGGTAAGAGACCCAGGAAAGCTAGGTGACAGAAGTACCTGCTTTCTATGAGATGAGAAGATATGGTCCAGAAGTGCTAGGGACCTATGAGAGAGTAAGTCATATGAAAAGGGACTCCGAATCGTTAACTAGAGAGTCGGTAACCTCAGATGACGACCTTAAGCGCACACTCAGGGTGAAGCTGTCATGATGGCATCAGCCATATCAAAGTTTTTGATGCGGTGTGAACCGATCTGCTCTAAGGTCATGACATCAAGATTCAAATCAAAATGAAGGAAAGTTACAAATATCCAATGCTATGCTCCTATAAGCAGCACAAACCCCCTGTGTAGAAGGAAGAACCCAATAGAAATCTGCAAGCAGTCACAACAGACAACTTTGCAAATTTCTGTGTGTTTAATGACTTATTGAATGTAAGTAGCATGTTCAAGAACACGGCGGGGTTGGTTTCATCTTAAGGACACAATAAAACTTATGTAGACTTCATCTCAATCTCTAGAAAATGGAGACAGCCTACTGGGCACAAAATCGAAAAGGGGAGCGAATGTGGGTTCGGACCATTATCTAGTGTAAGGAACCTTCGAGGTCAAGTCTTAGACCTTTAAAGAAGCTGTAAATGGACAACAATTCAAGTTGAACACCAAAACACTGTGAGATGAAACTACAAAGGACACCGCCCCAGCCATCAGGGAAAAGTCGGAGATAAATGTGGTGTTAGCGAGGAAACCTGCATGGACAACCACTAAAACTCTCAGGAAGTAAAGTAGGTGGAAACCTGTATAGTCTTCGTAGTGGCAGACTGGTTTCAACGTAGAACTTCGCACATATGTGCTGAAGTTCGAGTTATCACACACAAAGCAAGAGGTTAAAGATAGATAATAAACAGAAGTACGAGGCAAAAAGAATAGTAATATGGAAGAACAATAGAATTTCACAGGATATGATAAGTCACCAGCCACTGGGAACGATTTTCAGCCATATCACCAATTGTCTCCAGCTATTTGCTTTTACTATCCCGAGGACCCCAACCATTGTAGTTGTAGTAAAGAAGAGGTAAGAAGAAAAATTAGTCGTGCGTACACCTGGGTTCTGATAGACAAGAGAAGTACAGTGAAGCAGAACTTCAACGAGTGCAGGGACACCAGCAAAAGCAGAAGCTGGACATTATATATATATGTATAGTTTTTAGGATTCAGATTTATCATATCCAACAGTTTGCCTGTGGTTTGTTGTCTTTACTAATGTACTTGACAACGTAAATATCACGTCATGCTGATGAATTATAATTCAGTTACTGTGTATAAACTTACATTTTTTAAATTGCAATGTAACATTAGCTTAATAAATCACTAAGTGCGATATCACTTTGTTTGGTGTTGTGTAATTTATAACATAGGCGTTTACTGGGTGGTTGAGTTGCGTGCTGTGGTGCTCATCTGAAATGTTTATACTAAGCCACATTGTCAGCTTGATGGGCTTCTGGGATTATATCTTTAAGGACTGGTTTTCCGATCATTTTGATAAATTTGCGGTTATATATTTGTTTCTTTTCCCTTGAAATTACTCAGATTTTGGGATACGCGACAAGCTCAACCTATTCTGAATGTGGATCTACCGGAAAGAGTATTCTGTGCTGATGTTCATTATCCTCTCGCATTGGTTGCCACTGCGGGTCGACAGATCTGTGTATATAATTTAGAAAATGGTGTTACTCAATTCAGTCAGATAGAATCCCCTCTTAAATTTCAAGTGAGTTTATTCGTGGAGTAAATGCTTTTATGTATTAACATAGTATTATGGAAAAATGTGTCGATGAGAATGTGGATGGAAATAGCCTGATGTCTACAGAGCTTTAACTTTTAATCATGGACCTTTCTACCTTACGAAACACGGTGCTGAAATGTGTAGGATTTAATTGTTCACCAATACTGAGTTCACTCAGTCGATATTGACAACAGTCTGGACTTCACTGTAGTTTAAACTCAGGTAACGTGGTCTTAAAATACAAAAACATTACAGTTGTATAAATGCAGCGAATTCAAAAGTTATTTTCCGCACAAGGGCGGAAACACATTGAAGAGTATTAACCTGTGGATTAATATGTCCAATGTGTCACATGTGTGTGAGAATATAACATGCATTCATTGTCAGTTCCAAGGGGATGACCAGTGATCATTTATTTTATAATGTTTAATTTGTTAGTTGTCATGAAGTTTGTCTGTTGCAATTAACACTCAACGAATCAACCATCGTCTGACTTCCGAACATCCAAATGACATGCCTCTTCCGACAAACACACGTTTTTCATTTCAATTTCGATTGCTTGAGTCATAGTCTTCAGACGTACTATCTTGACTCTGCCATACTGATCACCTGCTTAAATATAGCTTTTGGCCCCTGACCTCTAGGTGAGTCAGTATTGATATTCATAACTAGATCACCGGACTGTAGGTTTCTCTTTATATCCAACCACCTCGATCTGGTTTGCAGTTTTTTTATCCCTTTACGTTCCCTATGGAAAATAGGGCTTCAAGTCTCCAGCTTGAAGTTTCGGTAACAGTGGCGCTTATCTTCATGGAATAGGGTTGCAGGCGTCATATCCAATCTTCCCTCTTTACCAGTCCTATTACTGGCTTAACGAGGTAAAGGAGTGCGTCGGCCGGGAATCGGACCCCGAACCACATGTGTGGTTGGCGAGCATTCTACCGCTGTGCTACCAATGCAGTGTTGGAAGTTATTCGCACAATCACCTGCTCCAAAATGGCATACCTAAATCTTCGCCTTTGTTTATTAGGTTCACTAGCGGCCAGCTGTTTAAGGTTCCTTCGGACTCTGTCAGAAAGGTTTCTAGCGTTTTATCCATCGCTTTTCTTGGAAAAACTGCACCCATAAGATCTTTCTGACAGACCTAATGACACGTGACTATCTCAGTAGGTTGAAATGCCACTCATCCTTTCTCGAGGAGACCATTCGCTGTCTTATTCTAATCCCAAATTCTAACCATCTGCTTCAGGCTGGCATCAGTTGTCAAGAATTTTGAGCTGTTGTCACCGAGTAGGTGCATCGCATTTCCTCTTGCAGCGAACCTTGAGAATGCACATGTCAAGTAGTCAGTATCTAACATGTGCGTCACCTCAGTATTGATTTATTTCATAGGTTAGCAAGTGAATAGGCAACCATAACGCTTTTTGAAGCGGTCTTCTCTTCCTTATACAAAATGGTCAACGATAACAGAATTGAATGACAATAAATGAGCTCCTGACTGACACCCTGTTAATGGAGGCATTTATCTGGGATCACGGTGCAGTGCTAAGCCTTTTGCACATGTGGTATTGTTTAAAAATCTTTGCAACCAGAGGATAACTTTTGAGGATCTGGAATTCACCCCGCAGACTATTTAGAACATGCGTAATGCCAGCTTGGGTATTCTAGAGATAACAGTACATCACTGTCATATCGCATCGGTGGCATAGCGGTTAGGACGCTCGCCGACCATGCACATGGTACGGGGTTCGATCCTCGGCCGACGCACTCCTTTACCTTGCTAAGCCAGAAATAATGCTGGTAAAGAGGAAAGGTTGGGCATGAGGCTAGCAACCCCATCCTGTAAAATAAACACTGCTACAGAAACTTCAAGCCACTAGCTTGAAGCCCTATGTTCCACTGGGGAACGTGAAGGAAAAAAAATGTCATATCGGTAACAAAGGGTCTACTGGGTGATATAGTTTAGTCTGTACTGTGAAAAGGTAAGCGTGGTAGTTGTAGGCAACCTCCTACAGGAATGGTGTTGTCCATGACAAAGGGATCGAGTCCCTTTATCGTGCCCCTGTCATTTTTCATGGCTTCACTGGCTCATAGTATACGATATAATAACTATCTCTTCATATCGACCTGCCTTTCCTTACTGATTCCTCCAGGCAAGTCTATCGACAATTAATTGTTTCGCGTTCAAATGAATCTTTATACTGCTATGAATAAAATATTAACAAAAAGCGAAAACTCTTGGTACCTTGAGCCAGGATTCAAAGCCTCTGAATCTATCTAACAACTGATCCGGGTTTTGAAGTATACTTGACTCACAGATTTCATCTTTAAACATTCGTTTGTTGATGTCAGTTTCATCTTCACTCTCCCCTGTTTCTAAAGGATTTTGGTTCATCAAGTTTTTAGTTAGACTTAATTTCATTGTCTAATGTCAGGCTGTTCGAGGTGTAGTCTTCAGGTTTCTGTCTGCAATCAACTTTTCTCCACTGATCTTGTGTGGATAATTGCAAGTCTGTTGCTTACAGATGTTTTAAATTCTTTTGTTGCGTCTCTTATAGAATAATATACGAGTTGATCACGGATTGATATCAGTTAGAGAACCATTGAAAACCAGGGAGGACTGGACAGTTGTTTCATCCTAGTTTGGGAATCATCGGCAGTACGCACCCACTGCCAGGGTTCGAACCCAGGACCTTCCGGTTACAAGGCAAGCTCAACCACTGGGACCCGATTCAATGGCTCATGAATTCTAACTTCTACCAATTCGTGATTTAGCGCGACTGGAACCAACCAATGTCGTCGGTGGGACTTCCATCCTCACACTTGACGTCTGGATGGACCTCACTAGTCATGACTTCCCACTAGAACTCCAGGAAACTCCATCCTGTAGCAAGTCACTGGCGAGCATCAGATTAATTTTCTATAGTTTGGTTTGTAAGGGTTAGTTATGTTTTTACGAGTCACGTGTGAGGATGGATGTCCCACCGACGACATTGGTTGTGGTTGCGCTAAATCACGAATTGGTAGAAGTTAGAATTCATGAGCCATTGAGTCAGGTCCCAGTGGCTGAATGGTATATGAGCCAGCTAGCTGGCCTTCTAACCGGAAGGTCCTGGGTTCGAATCCCAGTGGGTGCGTACTGCCGATGATTCCTAAACTAGGCTGACGAAACAACTGTCCAGTACTCCAATGCTGGTTTTCAATGATTCTCTAACTGATATCAATCCGTGATCAACTCGTAAAAACATAACTAACCCTTACAAACCAAACTATAGAGAAAAATACTCAATTAACGAGTTCTTCAAATAAGTTGTAGAAGAAAAGGATATGCACAAGTTTTTCAGTAGATGTTTTTTTTTCAATTTTATAACAACAGAGAATCTACTAATTCCAATCTAGGTTTGGTTAAAATAGTAGGGAACAGTACACTTAGCAAGGAACATCTTCAAGACTAGTAATATGCGATAGTGCTGCGTGTGCAAACTTTGAGGTATCCTGGATGCAGTGAAGCTGAATGATTAACAGCTCCCACAAAGGCGGTATTATCCATCATGGAAAAATGGATTTTATTTAATTAGTTAGTAGTCTTATTTCCACATGACTTTTACAATCTTCATGGAGGTCTACATCTCACTGTAATCTCTTTCGACAGGTATTTTACAGAATTGATTTAATAGGCAACCGTACTGATGCTATAATTTCAATAGAGTAGAATTTGGGTTGTTTTACTAGTCCATTTAGTCGAATGAAATCCTCCTGATCTCAGAATCTGTTCCAGTTGAGAATAAATTAGCTTTCTCTTGCCTTATATATTAAAACTTGAAAGAACATTGTCCTTGTGAATGTGTCCTCCAACTCTATCAATAGTACTCTAGTCGAACTTCATAGCGTTATCCGGTATAGTCCTCTCTAAAACAGGCGTTGCAAAACACTTGTTGATGACCGACCGAAAGCTGCTACCTTGACGTGGTGGTCGGGCTTGCATATCGCAATAACCCAACGAGCTACACTGGCTGGAACTTATGTTCCTGTAGGTCCTACCATGCCAGAAAGGTTGTTTGGATAGCGGTTAGACAAAAAGCAGCTACCCAATCCAACACCATGATTTAAACAAATCCACAAAATATCATGCCGGATCGGTCGGGGCCCGGATTAACAACGACCGCGCTTCCTGCTGCCGTATCACAGGGCAGAAGTGATAAATATGCTACTGAGACACACCAAATGAAAAACAACAAACAAAAACAGGCCGTGTGTGTCCGGCCTCAAGCAGTTGTCCCCTGGGCTCTGTGGTCGCGCAACCAACTTCCACGATGTGGGCAGCCGGGAAGTAACAATCGCCCTCACAATCCGAAGTGCACGCGAAACCCCTCTAATCTTGTTGATGAGGTTGCTCCGAAAATATGTACTTTCATTCTAGGAGGTACAGACTCTGCATACCCCTCCCCCCAACCACCACAATTCTCTGAGAGCATATTTTACGTGTTAAGGTACAATTACTTGCTGTGACATAACTTCTACGTCTGGAATGGTGTCTATTGGTCACTGTCGAAATCTCAAGAATATTCCCACAAAGTTGTTCACTAAATCAAGACACCAGTGTATAAATTTTTATTCATAGATATCCTGCGTACTGTGACACACAATGGGTCACAATCCTTGATATATTAGGCTTTGGATGAAATACTTTGTGCTTCTCAGCGCGAAGCTGAATCATGATTGAGATGTTATTTTTTGTGATGAATTTAATCGAATGACAGTCACGTTTCTGTCATGAAGACTTAACAGATCTTTCTAGTATTTTATTCAATTTTTAAATTTTCCCGTCGATTGATTGGAGCAAAGTGCTTGGTCTCAGGTTGACATGTCGGATTTTTGTGCAGATGCTTCGACTCGACGATGTCTGGTGGATAACGCTTTGGCGTTTGAAACTATGGGCACTGGGTTCGAGCCTTGGTGGGAACATCATCACTCACTGGGGAATGCAGGTACATCCAGCTGGTGGACGAGTTCAAAATAGGACGAAATGCTCGTTGTCCTGGATTCCACTGCTATTAACCATCCACCAATTGACTTCTGATCTTGGTAGTTTGAATTCTTTGTTTTGTTGAGTCACAGTTTGTTTATGTAAATTCAATATATAATTCATTTGCATTTTTTCCCTAATATTTTTACAATCCAAAAGAGTCGCTGTATATCCATATTTATGGATAAACAGAAACAAAATCCCATTGGATATGCTTTGGGTAGTATTGAAGGACGAGTTGCAATACAGTATTTAAATCCTGCTACACCGAAAGATAATTTTACTTTCAAGTGTCATCGTTCAAGTGCAGCTGTCAATGGTTATCATGAAATTTTTGCAGTGAGTTGCTTACTGTTTTGTGGTTTCTTGCTAAACTTTTTATCAATATTGTTACACATGTTTCCTTGAACCTTGTTTGTTTGTTGGTTTGTTTGTTAAGTGTATACAGAAGGGACCACTGTCTCTGGATACAAATATGAAGTAGAATTAGTAATAAGATTGTCGTGAAACTTTTATTTATGTATAAGTAGCAGTAATAATTGTATTTTGTGTCGGAATAAAACAAGCACAACAATTTGTGCAGATTAAGATGATACCAATGTAACGAACAGAATACAAGGATCAAGCAACAAATCGTTTATTGAGAAAATCAACAGATATTTATAGATTTTTATGTACATTATTATTAGCGTTATTCTTAGCAGAGGAGCAACGTCTTCTGATTGGTTGTTTTCTTGCTGAAGGTTATTCCGTACTGCTTGTAACCGTCCCTTACAAGGTTATTCCATATGTCTGCGAATCGTATTTGTACACGTTAAGTCTGCTGTGATTGGTTGTTAAGCTCCCCAAGGTTATGTTTTGTTCTTGTTTTTTCTCATGACCCCGACTCGGGACGTAAACATTGACGTAAATAGCCGTCTACCGATTTAGGTTTGCAGACAGCTCTCATCACAATATGATTTATTTTTCTTGGGCTTCCCATCAGCTGCTCACAGCCTAAAAATATTAAGTTTATCTACAGAAACAATTTTAACATACTTGCAATTTTCACAATATGTCAGTTGACAGAGAGTCCAAGTTTAAACAAAAAATCGGTGTATGCATACAATGTTAAGGGAGTTACGTAATAAAGACCAAGAGGTTAGCGCCAAAGAGCACGCAGTCGGTCGATCGGTCGGTTTTCGACATAGAACTTTGCACATATGTGCGGCAGTTCAAGTCGCCACACTCCATGTAGCACACAAAGCAAGAGAAGAAAGTAGGAGAAATGTATAACATAGACAGTAAACAGAGGTGTGAGACAAAGGAATAGTAATAACGAAGAACCAAACAGTTTCATTGGAAATCATGTCACAAGGAGTGGATGCATCTGCGCCACTGAGAACGATTTTGAGCCATGTCACCAATTGTTTCCAACCATTGTTTTTTTACCGTCCCGAGGAACCCAACCAGGAAGTCTACATCTTCCTACGTGGCTTAAACTAACTGTTGTGGATTTCATTGACTGGTGCCATGTTTTCGTTTGACCGCCGCAAGCTCTTTTCCAGCCTGACCCTATGTCAGTTAACATTGCCCGTCGAGGAAGGCGATGACTAGGCATACGTAACACATGTCCCAACCATCTCAGTCGATGTAATTTCACAGTCTCGTTGACTGATTTCCCCGCCTTACCTAGCACTCGACGCCTAACCTCAATATTGCTCACCTTATTATACCACTTCACGCGGGAGATAGAACGCAGACACCTATGATCGAAGACAGCTAATCTTCTCATGTCTTCTGCTCTCAATGGCCAGGTCTCACAGCCATAAAGAAGAACGGAGCGGACTGTTGAGCAGTACACACGTCGGTAGTGGGATGTCACGTCTACGCCAGAGACGGCGCAAACTGGCATATGCGAGCCTAGCCCTCTGTATTCGTGCTGAGATTTCGTCGGAAATCAACCCGTTGGGGCTGATGGTACTTCCCAAGTAAGTGAAGTGGTCAAGGTACTCTACCACTTCACTTCCTATTTCTTATCTAGGGGTCGGTGAAGTCCAATCCTGCAGCATCATCTTACATTTTACAGGGGCGAATCGCATGCCAAACATTCTTAGATTGCAGCTCAAAGTGTTCAGTAGACTCTGCATTTTGTCAGCGTCCTCGCCTAGAAGGACTGTATCGTCCTCATATTCTAAGTCAACGAGATTCTTCCCTGGTAGCAAGTCAATCCCTGAGTCGCTGAAGTGTGTTAGGGTTAAGTCCATTAATACGTCTATGATGAAGTTGAATAGGAATGGGGATAATGGGCATCCTTGACGGACGCCACTAGTCGTCACCACTTCAGATGACAACTCGCCATAAGCCCTCACCTGGGTGCATGAGTACGAGTAGAGTGCCTTAATCAGTGCAATGTTTTTTCTCGGCATCACCTTCGCAGCCAAGCATTGCCAGAGAACCTCTCGGTCGACAGAATCGAATGCCGCCTTTAAGTCAAGAAATATAGTGATTGTCGGACGCAATCAAATGAAAGAGAGAATAAAAACATCCAGTTATACCAGGGCAAGGAAAGACTGATAACTGTTTCCTCTCTGAACACATAGAACGGGTTTCAGGCGTTTGATAGAGATTTCTTCAGCGAACTTGAGGAGAATTAAGCTATTCTGTCCATTGATAATTTTAAAGGATTTTGTTATGCTCACATCATGACCCGTATCAAGGAGATGCCTAGCACTGGCGCTGTCGAAAGCTTTTGTTCCGTGGAAATGTACGCCCTTTTTGTCGCATATTTAAAAAATTGGAGATGTGGCCTTCTTTCTCTTCTCTCAATGTAACTGCTCTCTCAAATACATGTAAATTTGTATATAAAGTTAGAATTAACTTGAGAAGGATATCTGCCGACTTTTAACTGCACATAATGTCACATGATAGACGTCAACCAATCAGAATCCAGTTTGCAGTTAACGCTTACTATTCGGGCCTTGTAATCGGATCAACATATGCCTTACATAATTTTGTACTTTTGGTCACTTTCTCTATTGCTTGCTTTTGAAAATAAGCGTTTCCAATCATACTGTGTGTGTTCTGTGGTTTACTAGTTCGTGTCAGGGAATAATCGACCAGGGCATTCATTATCAAGCGTTCATATCATCAGTTAGCATTCGTACTCACTCTCGGAGACATTATGACAAATTGTTATTTAAATTTTCTGCTTGGGCGGAAACTGTTTTAGTAATCCGAAAGATACAGTGAAATGTATGTATGTCTGGATATCAACACTGGTGGTTTTCTTCACGTCGGTTATGTTAAATATAAATACGGGGTTTTTTTTCTTTCTTCATAATTTTATTGTTTTATTCATAACCTTTAATCACTTGCCTCAACAGTTTCTTAAGAAGCAGTCAGCAGTTGTTGGCCCAATGATCTATAATTATTTTTTATTATCTTTCATTTTATTAACAGGTAAATGATATGGCTTTTCATCCTGTTCATGGAACACTAGCCACAGTGGGCTCTGATGGATTATATTCTTTTTGGGACAAAGATGCTAGAACAAAACTGCACACTGCTGACTCTCCAGACCAACCGCTTACTTGTTGTGTATTTGATCCTAAAGGTCAAGTATTTTGTTATGCTTCAGGTTATGACTGGTCCAAAGGATATCAGTTTGCTGATCCTTCTAAACCAGTGAAGATTACCATGCGGTTGTGTATGGATGAAATGACTCCTGGCCGAAAATCTTAGTGTAAATATATGTATATATGTACATACTAATGCAGTTCGTTCTTCTAACTAATGTTCGGGTTATTGAGTTACAAACTGTATTATCACTCAGTGTAAGAAAGGATCAATTCTGAATTCAATCTGTATACCTGTGTAACGACAGGGGACAAGAGTCAGGCAACAGATCGTTTATTGAGGAAATCAAGAGATATTTTTAGATTGTTTTGTACATTATTATTCGTTATTTTTAGCAGAGAAGCGACGTCTTCTGATTGACTATTTTCTTGCTGGAGGTTATTCTGTACTGCTTGTGACCGTCCCTTACAAGGTTACCCATGTTTCTGCGAATCGTATTTGCACACGCTAAGTCTGCTGTGATTGGTTGGTGAGCTCCTCAAGGTTAGGCTTTGTTGTTGTTTTCCTTATGACCACGATTTGAGACGTAAACATAAACGTAAATTGTTGTTTACAATTTTGGCTTGCAGACAGCTCTCACCACACACGTTGGTCATCATCGTTGTTAATATGTGGTTCAATACCTGCCTTTTTAGATAGAAACTAGCATGTTGAAAAGCTCTCATAGACTCCTGTGTCCAGCAGGAAGAAGTCCACTCCAGTAATGTAAGCCCGGCTTAATATTTATCGTTAATTTGTGCTTACCTATTGATAAATTGCCTTCTAAGTACCTCAGTAATCTTGGTTTGTGTACCACACACTGATTATATATATATATATATATATATATATATATATATAATTTTTATATCTGGGTAGACAACACTGTTTAACCTTCACATTGTTGTTTACTAGTGAATATTTAAGATGAATACGGTAGGATTATAACGAGAATCTATAACTGGAGAAATTGTCCTCCAGCGGTGAAAACTTATTCGGGATATTACTCCCGAGGTACTGAGTACAAACTAACTGACTAACTGGTTTCAACATAGAACTTTGCAGCAATGTACAGCGGTTCCAGTCGCCACACTCACTTCATGTAGCACACAAAGCAAGAGAAGAAAGTAAAGAGAAATGCAAAATAGTGACAGTAATTGAGATATGAGGCAAAAAGAATAGTATTATCGAAGAACAATATAGTTTTATTAGGTATTATAAGTTACAAGGAGTGGATGCATCAGCGCCAGCCATTGAGAACGATTTTGAGCCAACCATTTCACCAATTGTCGCCAGTCGTCACTGGTTTTTACCATCCCGAGGACCCCCTACACCTTCCTACGTGGCTTGAACTAACTGTTGTGAGTTTAATTGACTGATGAAGCTATGTTTCGGTTTGACCACCACTAGTTCTTTTCTAGCCTGATCTATCCTCTGTCAGTTAATATTGATCATCGGGGAAGGAGACGACTAGGTATGCGTACATAACACATGTCCTAATTATCTCAATCAGTGTAACTTCACAAACTCGTCGTAGATTGGTTTTCCCTCCTACCTAACTAACACTCGACCGATGTCTAACCTCAATATTGCTCACTCTATTATACCATCTAACACGCGAGATAGAACGCAGGCACCTGTGATCAATGGCCATGCCTCGCTCACACCCATAAAGGAGGACGGAGCGAATACAAACTTAGGCCAGACTGAAGTTAAAAAATAATATCATGGTAAAAATGCTGATTGAGTTAACTGTTTCCAATCACTAAGCTTATTTTCAGGTGGTTGTCCATTAAATTTTCAATAGAGAAAGTATCCCCAGATGTTCTCAAAATTTATCTGAGTCTATTTGCATCCTGATATATAATTTCGATCATAAACACAATGTTTTCCCACTTCTGTATATGGAAGAATTTTTCCAATATTAAAATATAACTGGTAGCTAACCCGTAATTAACTTTCCGGGTTATTAGCAAAAGACGAGGCGGATATGATTTACTTAAAATGGACTATGTACGAATTAGCTGTCCTGTGATTTCTTCATTAAAAATGAGCAGTTGTATACCGTGTCAGGATATGCGCCTAGACACACTAAATATAACTAGTGTAGTTAGCAGTTAAACTGGCGTATTTATTTCGTCTCGAGCTTATTCGTCACAAAAAGTACCTTGTATACCTTACAAATCCATTTCATAATTTTCAGGCAAAGTTAAACTTTTAAGCACCACTAACTACCAATCAGCGAATGTCCTCGAGTGCAACAATCACGTGAAGGAGGCATTTTTGTGTATGGAATACAAATATTTGTGGAAAAAAAATGCATAAAAACTGTAGGAAAGTGTTACAGAGGATACCTTTCCTCCCACATGTGATGAAAATAGCTCTCAGTTTTAGGTTGGTGTATCAACAGAATATAATTCCACTGTGGGTAAAGTTTATTTTGATAAAGTCTCATAGTGTAATACCGTATTATTTACTGAGCAATAAATTGTCCTCGAAATGTCATCAGTAAATATTACTGTATAACACTGTGAGACTTTATCAAAATAAATGTTACCCACCATGGAATTATACTCTACAACAGAGTAATTTAACCACATTCTATGCATGTAATTATTTAAGTCTTCTAACCCCAACAATAACCTTGATCTTTCTTGAACTTAACCCTAAAGGGAAAATATCCCTACACTAACTGTAATCTACCTCTAACCAACCATAATGTCGCCTTTATTAGGTTAACCTAACCCTAACTTGTCCTTGGCTTAAACCATAACTTAATCTTTTCCAAACCTAAGGTGAGACTTGCCATATATCCGATTTAATAGCATAACACTTCGATGAGCATATTTCATTGATGATGACAACGTTATTTGTCAGGTTTTACTAATTTGCTCAGTGGGTATTTCAAGGTCATTGGTGCGGTCGCACTCCGTTGGTAGTTATTGGTGCTTAAAGTTTAACCTGGCCAATTTTCATAACCACATCGTTTTGTCATGAATAACTCCATCACTGAGTTAATTTCAACATAGAACTTTGCTCAATAATTCAGTAGTTGAAGTTGCCAAACTCCATATCGCACACAAATAAATGGAATTCAAAGGAACTTTGGCGAATGGAAATGTACAGGAGAAAGGATGAGTATGTGGAGAATAGTGGAAATTTTATGGATCTAGAAGTGGATAAAGAGTGAATGTGTCTGAGTGATTGACAACGAATTTTAGCCATGTCACTGACAACAGTCTGCAGCCATTGATTCTTCACCTCTCGAGGACTCCAGCCAGGTGCTCTACAGCCACCTATATATTTCAAAGCAACAGTCGAAGACTTCATGAATTGATTACTGGTTTGGATTTGACTACTTCTAACTGTTTTCCAGCCTAATCCTATGTCAGCTCACAATGCTCATCGAGATAGGTACTAGCATGCGGAAGTCGTGTCCATTTCAGTTGACGTAACTTAACAACCACATTGATTCACTTCCCTTCCTTACTTGGCATTCCGCTCCTAATCTCAAGTATACTCACCTTATTATATCATTTAACATGGGAAATACGACGCATATCTTTGTGGTCAAAGACAGTCAACCTTCGCATACGTTTCACTTTCAACGAGCATGTCTTAGCCATGAAGAAGGACAGAACGAACTGCTGCGCGGTACACATCATTTAATAGAGAGCTGGATATCACGTCCAACTCCATGAAACCAGCCTATAGGTGTTTCATCAGCATTCTACATTGGATGTTGGCCTTCACTGTTTTAGTAGGTTTTGTAGTCTGAATTTATCTGGCCAAACAGCATTCAGTTTCCTCCTGGATGCCCACTATCCCCATTTCTATTCAATTTCATCACAGATGTACTAGTGGAATTAACCTTAAATGAATTCAGAGACTCAGGGATTGACCTGTTACCAGGAAGGGAATAATCTCGTTGACTTAGAATATGCAGATGATATAGTCCTTCTAGGCGAGGACGCTGACAAAATACAGCATTCTTCTGAGCAGCTTGAGCTACAATCTACGAATGTTTGTCATGCGATTCGCTCCCGTCATATGTAAGATGATGCTGCAGGATTGGACTACATCGATTCGTACCTTAAAGATAGAGATTGAAGTGGTAGAGCGTGTTGATCACTTCACTTATTTGGGAATTTGCATCAGTTCCAATGGGTTGATTGTTGACGAAATCTTTGCACAAATACAGTAGACTTGTTTGGCATATGTCAGTTTACGCCGTCTCTGGTATAGACGTGATATCCGGCTATCGACAAAAGGACGTGTGTACTGCTCAGCAGTCCGCTCCGTCATCCTTTATGGCTGTGAGACCTGGCCATTGAGAGTGGGAGACATGAAAAGTCAGGCTAGCTGTCTTTGATCATAGGTGCCTGCGTTCTATCTCCCATGTGAAGTGGTATTATGTGGTGAGCAATATTGAGGTTAAGCGTCGGTCGAGTTCTAGTCAAGGAGGGGAAATCAACCAACAATGAGGCTTTGAATTTACATCGATTGAGATGGTCAGGACATGTGTTTCGTATTTCTAGCCATCGCCTTCCTCGACAACACGCAATGTTAGCTGACGTAGGGTCAGGTTGGAAAAGAGCTAGTGGTGGTCAAACAAAAACATGGCTTCATCAGTCAATGAAATCCACAACAGTTAGTTTAAGTCACGTAGGAAGGTGTAGACAGCCTGATTGGTTGGGGTCCTCGGGACGGTGAAAACCAATGAAGGCTGGAGAAAATTGGTGAAATGGCTCAAAATCGTTCTCAATGACTAGCACAGATGCATCCACTCTTTGTGATTTATAATATCCAATAAAACTATATTGTTCTTCGATATTACTATTCTGTTTGCCTCTTATCTCTTTACCGTCACTATTTTGCATTTCTTTTTACTTTCTTCTCTAGCTTTGTGTGCTAAATGAAGGGAGTGTGTGTGACTCGAACTGCTGCACATTGGTGCAAAGTTCTATGTTGAAACCAGTCAGTCAGTCAGCATCATCAGCAGAGATTTCTTTCAAGGTTATGCATAAAGTACGGCCAAGCTGTTCGAAGGAACTCTTGGTATCTATACCCAAGTAGCATCATAAAATTTATGACAAGGGACATATCTAGTTTGTTCTATTTAAATTTACTGTTCTTTGTACACAGTACAAATAAAAAATTTTAAGTGTGTTATTTAGCTCGTTGGT